GTCCCCACTCACACATTACACACACTGCACTCCCCACTTTTAATAATTATTAACATTAATTTCCTACTCCAAAGCTCAATTACAATATTGCCCTCACCTCTTTCCAAAATTTAGTTTTTTTTTTTTTTAGATATTCCTCTCTCCTTGTTATGTTATTCTCGCGCGAAGCAGCTTCTGTCCAGTATTCTATTTTTTTCGCGCGTGATCGATGGCGCTACCGAATCCAAATTTCAACCTTTAGGTTTAATTCGCACAAGGAAAACATTGGTTAGAGAAAGTTTCGATTTCAAATGTTCTTTTGTTGTGATCATTTTTTTGGTTGATTACAATGGTGTTGTTAGAGCTCACGATCGATCCTACCCATGTTTCACTAAAGACGAAGATCGGAACTACGGTATGATCGTTTATCTTCACTATTATTTCACTAATCCTTTGGTGATTGTGCGTTGTTTGAGATTATTTGTTGCAGTATGTGGTAATCTTTTACAATATATGACAATATGTATAGAAAAAAGTTTTAAGAGAGATGTTGCGATTTAATGGTAGTATGTGTGGGCATTTTCACACAAAATCTTTATTTGGTGGAGTATACATATATTTATTAATCTTATATATGTTGTCTGATATTGTATGTTTTATTTCTTTGAAAATGCCCTGGTTTGGTTGATATGTACTACGATTATTTATGTATGAACCTTGATATATGTTACATGTGCTTTTAAATTTATGGTTCATAAAATCTTGTTGTTATGCAGCCGTGTGCTGAAAATAATGAAAATTGTGAATGATTTTGCTGGAGGTTAAAGTTTTTTCTTCACGTTGATAGTCGGTATAATTGAAAAGAATACGTTGTTTTGGATACTGCCTCAAGCACTTAGTGGATAACTTTTACACATAGGTATTGTTTGGGGGTTTGGATTTTGAGTTGGGATTTGAATAGTAAAAATTTTGAATTTGAATAGTTGTATGATGTGATATTTTAAATGTAAAATTGATTTTTAGTATAATATAAAAAATGAAAAATAGGTGTTTGATTTGATATTTTTTGGGAGAAAAATTGAATGAATAGTGAATAGTGGATTTGGGGACAAATCCCCTAAGCAAACACACCCGTAGAATATATGTTTTATTTTTATGATATGTGCAACAAAATAATTAAATTCATATATTTTTATGATATGTGTAACAAAATAATTACATTTCTTATATAGAATGCGGATATATCCGATGAACCACAAGAAACGATATATGTCCGTTTTCAACAAAGTTATTTACGAAGAACCCATTAATTCGGTGCCGACTCATGATATGGATGTGGCACAAAATAACCCCAGGCAAAGATAATTCGTTCTAAAACATCTATCCAACCATGTCGGCCAAAAAAAGACGGTTTAAATCACAACAGGTAAAACAATCTAAAAAATGTGGTCGCCAATGACATAACCGATGAAGTTGCAAGGATGATTTATCTTATGTATTTCTGATTTCCTCATATGACAAGAATTTCCTTTTATTTTTGACTGATTGTACATTGAACGGAGATATTTGTACAAGACCACTATTGAATGATTTCAAAATTAGATGATATTTCTCTTATATTCCTCGTCGTACACAACTAATATGTGGGGGTATATATCATTACAAATTAATTGCAAATTAGTCGTATATAGAGGTATGCGAATTCACAACAAAAATACATTAAAGTTATTGTATTTGTATAAAATATGACTAAGGATAAAAATTATCAACAACGATATAGAGCTTGGCTTATTAAATTCAGAGGTCCTTTGTGTCCCCGAAATACTCCTTATGGTATAACATGACTTATAGCGTATTCCCACCATTTATCTCAAATTACATTAATATTGAATCACGTGTAGGGGTCCTTCGATGACGTTTGAAAAGTATATTCATTAATACCGGTGGTATACATAGTACGAGTAAGCGGGCGCATCTTTGCATATGAAGGTATTCATATTTGAGTGCAAGTATTATTAATGTGAACACGGGTATTCAACCAACAAGGCCAAAATTTGTCAATGATTGTTGTTAGATCAAATAACTACGAGTTGATTACATCATATCCACTTCTTGGACAGTGAGTATGGAATAGGGAATACTTCGAGACGATATACAAAAGAACATATTCATGCATTCAATGGTGGATGAAGAATGTCACTTAGGGTAGATATGAAATAAAATATGTTGAAATGGTCTATAGCAATAGATATATTGAACTCATTGGATAATCGATGACCTAATACGTTCTTTGTAATGTGATTGTCCGTCTAAACATTTATGAGAGTGAGAAGTAACACCCAATGAGAGTAAATGGACTATAAGGGATTGAAAATAATAATTGTGAGACATATTAGACTTTCCCACAATATAGGAAACATATTAGTCATTGATGTGGACTCGTCATCGGTCCATCGGTGCTTTCAGAACTATTTGGTGAATACACATCTTCTCAATGTACGTAGATTCCGGGTAAAATTACTTATATATCATATTCCTTCGTACGAGTAGATTCAATGAGTTCATAGGTACATAAATTAGAAATGAAGGTACAAATATCACTATGGGGGTATGTGGTCTCGGTCTAGGGGTTTGTCGATACTCAATCATTAAATTTTTGCAACCGACGTATATTATTTACTTTTGTGGGTACCTGTTCTCATCCAATATATCTGCGCACGTGATTTGGGTGTCCAAGTAACATATAGAGGTATATATAAGAAAATTTAGATTATCTATAATATATACAGACGTATACATAACCAAAATGCAAGTATATATAAACAACCTCTTAAAATATCATGCGCTAATTTAAAATAGTCAGTGATTAGCAAAGTCTACTTCAATATATAACATTAATGGATAAGTACCCCTACTTGACCTCAAATCTAAGCTATTCATCAATTCGACTGTAACAAATCGCATTCTAAATATTCAGATTGGACTAGACAGATCCTCCGTTGCCCTTTGTTAAAAGTCTTGCAGCAATTTTAGCCCTCAAACCTTGACATCATCGAATTCAGATGCCCAACCACCCGGTGGATAATGGTCTTTATCGTATAAAGGGTAGCTCTCAGCGTATATGCATACAAGTGGCCCATAGTCAAGACTCTCACATTGGTATCTGTAACGATCTTTTAAGTTTAGTCATCTTTGTATAAAAGAAACGCATAAAGAATCTGGAGGTAAGACCTTTGTATTTTTTTCGGGTCCGTCATCATTTTAAAGCAAAAATATGTCTTCATGAGTATACCTATCACAAACACAAGTTTTTGGAATAACTACGAAGGTAAATAATCTTCTATTTGAGACATATGAATTAACAGTCAAAGTACACTAAAGGTAATGAGAGACACTCCAAAATAATATAAAGAACAAACAAAATTTTACTAATCGACAAAAATAGATACATCTATAACCAACTTCATGACAAAGACATCGTCAAATACCTTTAGTACTTAAAAAATCACCCGAAAAGAAATAATTTGCCTACGGTACTTGAAGAAAACAAGAAGCACCGCATGCGTCACATCCCAATCAATTTACTATAAATATAAACCTAGAAAAATGCAAGTAAATGTACTTCTAAAGACAACAAGATCATTTATAATTTCAAACACATTAAAATAATTCATATTCGACTTGATGGTGCAATACAATGTCAAAGTAAAATGACCCGTCATCAAAGCTTGTACAAACCCAAATGAGACACAAATAAAATAAATCAAAGCATATCATAAATTAAAAAACTTGATCCTACCAAAAACAAAAATATTAACTTAATTTTTTGAACTCCACTTCAGGGAGAAGGTTTTTTTCGGCATCTCGAACGGGAACGGAGCTCTGGCAGACAAGTGGAGACTTCCGATGGCGACGAAAGTTTATGTGAGGAGGCTCAACGACAATTACTATGGCGGAAAGTTCAACAGAGAAGGCAATGTAGGAGAGAATGAGTTTCGAAAAAATAACCAAGCCACAACTTCGGATGGTGGATTTTATTAGGGTTTTGTTTTATTTTTTTTGTTTAATTTTCTGTAACGGATTTCAGTACATAAATAAAAATTTCAAACACATAACTTGACATTGTTTTGGTATAGTGAAATGATTTTGAAGTATGTAATTAGATAATATAAATTTATATAAAATTAACAGAAATACACACAATATTCGTTACATTATATCGTGATTTCAGAAGTACTTTATTTTTAATGTATCTTAAGGCTTATAAATAAATAGTTTGAAAATCATATTTGGCATGTACAAGTTCGGTAAGTAAGATATAAGTTTTTAAGGGCGTTTGGCTCTAGTTTTGAAAATATAGAAAATTTGGCGAATTTTAATACTTTGTTCAATTTTGCTTTTTATATAACTTTATTTTAACATAAAAAATTAAAAAATATAAGTATAGGAATAGATTCTTTTTAAACAATGGATTTTTAAAAATTTTAAAAATTTAAATAAAACTTTGTATTTAATATTTCCTAATTTCCAATACAATATAGTTTTGTTTATCATTTTTGTCTATTTCAAAATAATAGTTTTATTTTTATAAATAATAATTATGTCTATTTTTTCATTTTTATTATACAATTATTACTATTTATTACACTAATGCATCCACAAGAGCAAAAAAATCTTTTATCATCGATATTTTTTACCAATTAATTTTATGTTAAACCCAATTAAAACTATGTTTACGTGACGGAGGAAGCATGATATTTTATAAAAGAAAACAAACATATAATATTTTAAGAAAATGGTACCATAACTCTAAAATATATTGTCTGAGAATATTTCAATGAAGTATAAGTACACATGCAAAGTAAAAAATAATACTAGTACTAATAAACATAAAAAAAAAAAGAAAAAAAAAAAGAACCATGGATCTAAATCGGAGACAACTTTAAAACGGCGAAAGTTTTGCCATTTGGGAAAACGACAAAAGGTGTTACATAAATTAATGAATAAATGGTTTCTAGTTGAGGCATCCACAGTTTAGCAGAGCATACCGCCTGCCCAAATACTAATTAACTATGGCCGCAGCCGGCCGTCACATCGCACCAACCAATCGCCGCACCGGCCATCTGCACTCCACTCCAATCAATGGCTTCACTCACCTCCCTGCCGCTGCAATCTCTTTGTCTCCCATTCTCCAGAATCAATTCTGATTTCCCCGCCATCTACGGTTTTGCGAAGCCCTCGCGATCCATCAAGGCCTGTATGGCCGCGGCGCGGCCGTCGGCGGCGGAGGCGTCGTGTGTCGGATTCAGGAATTTGATGGAAACGTTTACTGTTGATGTGCAGAGGGCGGAGGGTAGGCCGCTGGACGTTCCACTCATCGCGCCGTTCACGATAGCATCTTCGAGGTTGGAGGGAGTGGAGAATGTCGCAATTCGAGTTGAGTTGAGGAATGGGTGTGTGGGGTGGGGGGAGTCTCCGGTGCTTCCGCACGTCACGGCGGAGGATCAACCGACTGCTCTTGCCAAAGTGGCGGAAGCTTGCTCGTTCCTGGAGCGGAGTTCCGGGGGGACTCTTGGCCACGTCTTGACGGAGATTAATCGGATGTTTTCCGGTCACTCATCTGCTTCGGTGAGTTGTTGAATCCAATTTCATATTTTCGCCTCCACCTTTGATTCTGTATTTTGGTCGATAAGCTTTGGTTTTGTTGACTCCAATCATGGGTTAATTGATTTAAAGTTTTTTTTTACCTTAATTCGATTCTATAAATGATTGGATTTGGATTTTGAACGTGGGATTCATAACTCAGTTTGAGTCATTGTACTGATCTTGTTATTGCTTCTTGTATTGATTGTGCATTTACTGTTGTAATTTACTTTTTTTCCCTACAATAAGATCGAAAGATTTTGAAGTGGTATCTAAGTTGGTCTTCGAAAAATTGAGGAATCTCTCGTGCAAATTGTGTTGTTGCGAGTGTGTTTTTGGGGACATTTTGGAGTCTGCATAAAATGCTATGCTTTGTGCTTTCTTTTTTCTGTGTCCTTGAAAATTCAAGAAATCTTTCTTAACAATTTCTGTGTTCTGAGTGGTTATTGCCTATGGGGACGTTTTTTGTTCTGCATAATATACTGTGCTTTGCGTTTTATGTTTTCATGTCATTCTTGATGAAGATTTAGGGATTTCTAAGTCGAGTGTAGTGATTGAAGTGCAGTTAGTGCTGCTTCACTCTGCGAATACAGTACAACTTTGTTGTCGATCTGGAAGAACAGGATGATTGAATGGTAAAAAGGCCATCCTCACTCAAAAACATGTTGTCGATCTGTGATGATCCAACCTTGTATTTTGTCTGTGGGATTACGTTTTCATGTACCTGGATAGTTGAACTTTCGTAAGAATACATGCATGTTCATGATCATCTCTTTTTTGTCAGTTTAGAGAACTTCACATATGCTTTGCTGAAGCCTGAAAGTTTCATGGAATGTAAGAGCATCAATAAATCCAACTATAATCTATGTCGTTGTATCATTTTACTGAATTTTTCTCTGCATATGTTATCTTTGCTGACATAAAGTGTAGATGACAATAAGGATGCTGTAAATACTGAAACTTTAGTAATGTACATGCTAGACTCAGGTAAAGAAAATTTTGGTCATCAGTTATCAGCTGATTGGTTTAAATGCCTTTCTTCCATTAATTCCTCATTTTAACTTGCTCTGCCCTGCCTTTACCGAGATCAACTGATATGAAATGTTAACTACTAACAGAGAATACGTCATGGATCTCATTTACCAAAAACATTTGGCACTATTTGTACCTTACCTTGAATGTGCTTCATAATTGCAGTTCGAGAGTCATAATTTTGTAATGATAGTTGGAAATTGCAATGGGAAACATGAAATGATGTCAAGATTAGAGCAAAGGCAACTTATTGAAACAAACTCTGAAGCTTATTGTATATTGTCTGCTGATGAAGGTCAGAGCAGGAATTGAAATGGCACTGATTGATGCTGTGGCGAACAGCATTAGAGTACCTCTGAGGAGATTATTCGGTGGATTTTCTGATACAATAACAACCGATATAACAGTGAGTTAGTTTTGTCATTGGAAAAGTAAAAATCTGTCTGAAGGAACTATTAATCTCTCTCTATTGTTGGTTAATAACCTGAATGTATGTATAGATTCCTATAGTTTCCCCTACTGAAGCAGCAGAGCTGGCTTCAGAGTATCGCAGTCGAGGATTCAAGACCTTGAAGCTGAAAGTCGGGAAGAACCTAACCGGTGACATCCAGGTGCTTCAGGCAATACGAGCGGTCCATCCAGACTGCCTATTTGTCTTGGATGCCAATGAAGGTTATAATTCCGATGAAGCCATTCAAGTTCTGGAAAAGTTACATGGTAAGGGATACACAATGAGTTCAATCCATTGTGTATCATTCCAACCAGAAATTTTCTTATGACATACATATATTAATTATGTTATTTCGATTTTTTGTGTTGCAGAGATGGAGGTAACACCAGTTCTTTTTGAGCAACCTGTTCATAGAGATGATTGGGAGGGTCTTGGTCGTGTTAGCCATACTGCTAAAAGCAAATATGGGGTGTCTGTTGCTGCTGATGAAAGCTGTCGTAGCTTGGCTGATGTGCATAAAATCGTGAAAGAAAATCTTGCACATGTAGTCAACATTAAGCTCGCCAAATTGGGAGTGTTGGGTGCCCTTGAAGTCATCGACTTAGCAAGAGCATCTGGATTAGATTTGATGATCGGTGGTATGGTCGAAACCAGACTTGCTATGGGCTTTGCTGGTCATTTGGCAGCCGGCCTAGGTTGCTTCAAGTAAGCAAAAATCTATGCTGCCTAAAGTAAAACATCTAGCAATTAAACTATGCCATATCTTGCAATAATTGTTACATGGCAGTAACTTGTAACATTTTCTTTGCAGATTCATTGACCTCGATACTCCTCTGTTATTAGCCGAGGATCCTGTTCTTGAGGGCTACGAAGGTACTAGATCCTGGTGGTACTACATACAATAATATCTCTTTCAATTTGTTCACTAACTTGGGAATGTTATATGTCTAGTTTCGGGTCCAATTTACAAGTTCTCTAACTCTCGAGGTCACGGTGGCTTTCTTCATTGGGATAATATCGCATGGTAAGTACTAATCTTGAATTCATGTGACATTTTTTTTTTTTTTTTAATAAGGTGTGTTGAGTCGAAACATGTGACATAACATATGCACTTTTTGGTGTGATCTATGTGGTCTTTCGTGCTCTTGGTGTTGGTTGCTTCAGACAACCGTCGACAAGTCTTACTTTCATCTGGTAAATCCATGCGGCTATGGCTTAGCTTAGCTTGCCATTCTACTTATGCATGTGTAACGTTTGATGTGGGCGATTGAAGATTGGTGAAGTAGTCTTGTTAAGGGTAGGGTGGGTAGAGTTGTTGAGACTAAAACTACTCGCTGGATGAGTATATTTAATTTGAAATTACTGTATTGATGAACTTACTTGCAGCTCAGTTCGTATTGAGTTGGCAATGAAATGTTGTTTGTGATTTTATGGTGATATATTGTTTTTTGAGTTACTTGATAGAGGTTTTTTTTGAGGATTTTGGAATTTTGAAAGTTTGAAAAAATAAAGAGTTAGTATTTAATTTGATATTATGTGGTAGAAAAATGTGTATTTGATGTGCTATTTTTTTTAAAAAAAAATAAATAGTGTAAAAAATGATCGAAATGATTGAAAGTGATGCCCGTCCTTCAAATGTAATTTGCTTTTGTATGATTGGAAATTAGGAAGTTTTGGGCAATGTTTTGTTTGAGGGATTGGATTGGATTTACATTATTTATCCAATTTTTTTCCCCCCCCCCAAAACATCAAATCAAACACCTATAAAAATCAATTTTACATTCAAAACATGACATCAACACCTATTTATATCACTATCATACAACTATTCAAATTCAAAATTTTTACTATTCAAATTCTAATTCAAAATTCAAACTCCCAAACAAACACACCCTTAGAGTATTGGTACTTTTTCCAATATTATATTAAAGAAACTAATCCAAAATTTTCTATTTTGTTTGAGGTTTTGGATTTTGAATTTGGATTTGATAATAAAAATTTTATATTTGAATAGTTGTATGATGTGATATAAATAGGTGTTGATGTGATATTTTGAATGTAAAATTGATTTTTAGTATAATATAAAAAATAAAAAATAAGTGTTTGATTTGATGTTTTTGGGGAAAAAAAATTGAATGAATAGTATAAATTCAATCCAATCCCCCGAACAAACACACTTTTACTTCCACGTTTATGTATGCATATATATATTTAGAAAAAAAAAAAAGTTATATTTTTATATTATGTAAGTAATTAATAAATTATTATTATTTATCAATATTTTGATTTATTAATAATTGATTGAAACAATAATTTATATTATTTATTATTTAATTAAGTCTAGTTTTAACCTATTTTTGATTTATTTAGTTTTATTATAAAAATGTTTTGTGTTGTATTTTTTATTATTATAGTTAGTATTGGTTAATTGATAAAATAAAATTTAGAAATAATAATTAATTGTTTTAAGAAAACAACACATTACAAACATAATAGAAATTTTTGAAATCAAAATAAAATAAAATAACTTAATTATTTATTGAACCAAAGTTTTGCCATATATTTTTAATCAAATTGCTTTGGGTTATTGATATGTTCTAAGTCACATTATATTTCTTATAAATTTTATAATTATGATATATCTATATAGAGAATATGAATAACATGGGTCATTACAAAAATAAAAAAATAAAAAATAAGTATATCTAATTGGCTACAATATTTGTAATTATAAAATATTTTTTAGTTAAAATGTGTTACTTAGTAACAAATATTAGTTTCATTACTAAAGATAAATTATATACTACAAAATTAATTTTGTCGCTAAAATTATTTTGCTAAATGTTACTTTCATAGCAGAAAAGTTTTAGCTACAAAATTATTTTTCATAGCTAAAATCATTTGGCTAAATTTTTCTTACATATTTGATTGTTAAAAATCTTTTGTAATGAATTTTAATTTTATAGCAAAAGAACTTTAGTTACAAAATCATATTTTCATAGCTATATCTCTTTTTTTTTTAGTTTTCATTGCAATAACACTTATTTTTCGTAACGAAAGTCATATTTATCGCCAAAGATTTTTACTAACGCGGTATAGGCGATAAAATGAGTTTCGTCGCAAAAATATTTTTACGATGAATTTTTACTTTTTATTACGAAATTTTTTTAACTAAATTTTAACTGTTTTGTAGTGTTGCTAATATTATTTACCTTCACTCATGCATCATAATAATATGCATACATATATTTTTTTTCATTTTCAATGATCATATTATGCAGTATGATACGTATCTTCATAATCTTACCAATTAAATCAATATCTCAATAAGTGGCGGGCGTCAAATAATAACAAATCAAGCTTGTAAAACATCAAAAACACGTTCTACATCTTTTTGAGCAACTTTTTTACATTGTGCAAATAAATGCATTTTAGGTCTTGAAGTAGATGAATAGATTGGATAAATGTCATCTATAAATGATATATTACATCCATGAGATAATGTCTCAATATATTGGTGACAATTTACATATAACTTACTTTTGGACTTGTCGTTTAAAAAAAAATTAAAAGTTAGAGATTGATTAATTATATTAATATCATTGTATGTGTTTTGTGCTCCGAAAAAAAAAATGTCAAATTCATAGATAATACAATCCCACAACTTCCAATTAGGTAATTGTTTTGTCATGGTCTACACGTGAAACTTGGTCTAAGTAGATAATAATCTTTGTAGGTTTGTTGTATCTAACTTTTTAAAATATTTCTAACAAAATATTGAAATGATTTATTCAAATAATTTTTATTTTTTTACACACGTTCTTGTTGTGTTCTCTCCAATACGAATGTAGTTATTTACAATATCAACGGCTACACCAAAAGCCAACACTAGGAAAACAACTGTACATTTTTGTAATGGTGATAGACCAAGCCTTCTGTTGCATCTCGATGTTGTTGGAAGAACTCACTTTCTACTATAAGGAGATCTATAATGCACAAAAAGATATATCTCTTCATTTGAAAGCTACGACAAAAATTGAAAATCTATATATACAGAATTTTAGAAATAATAATTGAACAAACAATTATGTCATTCTTCGCAATTCCTCCTGATATATATTTTTCAACGAGATTAATTTTCCTCTTCATGGTTTGTGATAACATCTTGAAGATGTTAAAATTGCATTTATAAATTGAGAGTGTTACTATATTTAGAAAATACTTCATCCGTCTCACATATAATGTCACATTTTTCATGTTCGTCCGTCCCACATCTTATGTCACATTTCTTTTTTGGAAAAATATTACACATTTTAATCATATTTTTAAATTTCAAATTATAATTTTTAATTTTACTAATTATTATCTTAAATTTAATCTATATTTATTTTTATTATATTATAATATTTTTTTCTAATATATTCTTAATTATTTACTAATCATACCCTCCTAAATTTCGTGTTCACAGTAACTGTGACACCATATCGGGGACGGAGGGAGTATATATTATATTTATGATAGTTATCTTATTTAAGAGATTGTAGGATTGTTGTCTTATTTAGCTAATTTGTACATGATTATAAATATTACGAATTCTTATAATTGAAATAGAGAATTTAAATTTTATACTATAACAGAGCCAAATTCTCTCCGGATATATCCATGACCCGTATATCCCGCATATATTTTTATATATTATTGATGTATATATTTCTATACACGGTGATATTGTCATTTTCATGCTATCTTCATCTCTGCTACTTTGATATTTACTGACAGAGTTTTACTTTGACTCTAATGATAGTGAGAGTCCTATGTTTTTACTCTAACTTTATTGAGAGCGATCAAGTCCTCTTTCCGATTCTAACTCTATTGTGAGCGAGCGAGTCGTATTTTCAACTCTAACTCTATTAAGAGTGAGTGAGTCCTACTTTCGACTCTAATTCCGTTGTGAGCGAGTGAGTCATATTTCCAACTCTAACGGTGTTGAGAGTTCTGCTTCTGATTCTGATCCAGTGGACAACTACACCACTTCCGGTCAATATTGGCAAATTCAAGTTCGTTCGTGGAAGATCTCGGCTACATTTTTTTCGATCACTTCTGGCAAACTCAAGTTTGTTCGATCATATCTTGAGTTTGAGGAAAAATGTTAAAATATATTTAGAAAATATATACTCCCTCCGTCCCGCTGCAAGGTTGTCATTTAGTTTTTGCATCATTGTACTTGACATTAAAAATATCTCTATATTTGAATAATTTACTCTACAAATGTATTCAAAGATCTAACATACAAAAAATCAATGACAACCTTGCAATGAGACAAATGGAGTATATTATATATTATATATTTATAGTAATTATCTTATTTAAGATGTTTGTAGGATTCTTTTCTTATTTAGCTGATTTGTACGTCAGTATAAATATGCACGAATTCTTATATTTGAAATAGAGAGTTTCAGTTTTATGATCTTTCGCAATCCAAAAAATTAAATCAATTATGAACTACTTTTTCTCTTTTCAGAAAAAAATAAATAAAAATGTTAGATGATATAAATAATTGTCATACCTAAAAGTTGAAAACTTAAGTATCACTCTCGTCTTTTAATTGTCACCTTAGAAAATAAATTCTTTAAGTGTTACAATTTTGTTATTTCAGTACATTGATCGCGTGTGAGTTTCACAGCTTGCCAAATTCACGCATTGTTGCCCTTGAATGACACGTCGTACAATATTGGATAATATAAAATATGTACAAAATACATTTAGAAAAAGTATGACATACAAGATATTTCAATTTTCAAGCAAAATTGTAATATGTACAAGATATATTTTGTTAGGGTATCAGTGAAGTACAAGTCACTGCGACATTGTGATACACAAATGATATATTTTGCTAGGGTGACAATTAAAATATAAGTATGATAATTGAGTATAAGTATAAGGTACTGTTTTTTGCTATTTTCCCATATATATATATATATATTTTAATGAAATGTAGTGTATAGATTTTTGTCAATATAGGGTGTGTTTGTTTGGAGGTTTGGATTGGGATTTGAATAGTAAAAATTTTGAATTTGAATAGTTATATGATATGATATAAATAGGTATTGATGTGATGTTTTGAATATAAAAAATAAAAAATGGGTGTTTGATTTGATATTCTTAGGGGGAAAATTTTGGATGAATAGTAGGATTTTGACAAAATCCTACAAACGAACACACCCTATAGAGTATTTATAATTTATATTATACGAAATAAATTATGGTAATAATGATGATGTGATATAATAATAAAATATATTAAAAATATTCCTGTGTCTCATACGAATATACCGTTTGGGGTTTTATAGTATATTAAAAAATAATAATATTTTATTAATTAGTAGAAATATATAAGGTGACTTTGATATTTTTCTTCTTTGTATTTTATGTATATGTGTAATAATATATTTATAATTTAGGTAAAAATTAAGAGTATTTTGTTAATAGTATGTGATTGTTTTTATAATAATAAGAAATAATTACTTTTTAGTGGGACAAATGAAAGTGATATAAAATAATATTTTTAATTGGGACGAAATAAATACGTGAATAATTAGTATAATAATAAAATTAATGAAAATAAAAGTGATGACATGAATGATATAATGTGATGTAACAAATGTAGTGTGCTCAAAGCTATCTAATACAATAATAAAATATAATGTAATAAATTTTAACAATACAAAAGTTGAAAAATTGATCAGTATAATGACAAACAAGAATTGTGATATTATCTAACAAGACATTCAATAAAGTTTAAAAAGACAAAAATAATAATAATAATAATAAAATAAAATAATCACTACTACATAGAACATAAGTATTGGGATGTAATATAATAATTCAATCAATATAAACTTTAACAAGATAAAAATTAAAATAATTGATCATTACCACAATGATACATATATTATGATGTGATTTGGCAATGCATTCAATAAAATTTAAAAAGAAAAAATATGAAAAGATTGAACACTAATAAAATAACATACATTAATATGGTTCAACAATAAAAGTGTGTCCAATACATGATATATATATATGAATAATATATAACTTATAGAAGGTGGCGTTATTTATTTATTTTTATAAAAATATGCTTGCACGCTACAAATGAAAATACATTATCTTTTCAAATAATTTTATTTATTTTTTTAAGTAACATTATTTTTGGTACTCAACATTCTATTTTTAAGTTTCAACCATCAATTCAAACTCTCAAAAATTTTTAAATTCACAAAAAAAAAAAAAAATAAAATTCATTTTAAAATTTTATGAACATATTTGGAAATAAAAAATACTTCACAACTCTACTATTTCTCAAAATTTCAAACTCCTATTCCGAATCTTTACTATTCATCATGTTCTATAAAATATAAAATACTTTTTCAAAAAAAAAAATGACATAATATATAGGAAGAGCAAAAATAGAAAATTTGATATAATATGTGGAACGGAGGGAGTATTTTAATTAAGATATACTATGACAAAAACAAAATATCTCCCCATCATCTTTGGATGTGAATATCTCATATTATTTAATATATGTATATATATTATATCTTATAAATTGAGATTATTAGGTATGTTTCTTTTAATTAATTTGAAAAAATTTTAATTTAAATTTTATATTAAAATAATATATAATGAGATATTTTGTACGAATTGATTTTTTTTTTTTTTTTCGAAAAACAACCAGTTAATTAAACAAACCTGCCACTTAAAAACTCAATTTTACCCGTTCATCTTCTTCAGTTTTCTATCAAACCTTTTCAAATCTATTTCAATCTCCAAAAAAAAAAAAACCAACCCCACAATATTACCCTCTCATCTTTCTTTTGCCTTCGATAAATGATTGGTCAGTTCGCCGTCCACCGGTCAAGCTCCGGCCGCTGCGCCATTTTCCTTCCGTGGAAACAATGTCCGTTTGGCGTACACGGTAAATGGGCCGAACTCGAGGCCGGGGCGTTTGAGAAATATGCGCCATGGTGTTAGAAGGGTCGGCGCCAATAACAATCAACGCCGCTGCCACCTGCTTCTCCATATCCACCACCATCAAACCGTCACCACCACCTTCTGGCTCCTGCTACCCACCACTATCGTCATCGCTGCCTTCTCAACTCCAACTTCCATAGCCATAATCAAAGCCTTAACCGTCACTGTTTTGTCTTTTAAACCAGTCAGCCCCTGTCCAACATCTTCTTTGCTTGACTATTTTTTCCTTTACAGGTAATCTAGGCCGCATTTCTTTGGCATAATGGACCTTCATAAAACAAGATTATATTTTAGATGTAGTGTCAACAAGTTTTAGGCGTTTGTAAACAAAACTTCAGATACAAGATGTAGTGGAAGAGTGTAATAGGGTCCAGATGATCTTATTATATTCATATTTTACTCTGATTACGATCAATCTGGCCTGCTTGTTTAGTCTTTTGTAACATGTAGATTTTTTTTTCTAAACTATACTGCATAGTAAACAAATTGCTTCATTCTTTGCCAATTTTTATAGATTGTTAATGTAAGTAGAGATTGAATAACTTAGCTCAATTTGTGTTTATAACAACTACATCTTTTTGGTTATTGCATTATTGTTGTGGAGTAAATTTATGCTTTTTTTGTTTGAATCATCAGTCCTATATATTTTGCCTACAATGCAATTTTCTTGAGGTCTTATTTATTATTTTCATCTTAAATGGTATTGCTATTGTGTGTATTTACCTATGCCTACCAATCAAAATTTTTATGTTGACCTGATTGAAGTTTTGAAAAACAAACATGCTTTTGGGGCATATAAGAGCTTGTTATGTTAAACTATGATTGATATTAACATTATTGATATTACAAGCAATATTTAATATATGTGGATGCTTAATTATCTTTATCATTTCCAGGTATTTGATCACAAAGCTAGCAAATGGAAGTTTCTTTGAAGGCCTTGTCAGGGCTTGAATACATATGCAACCACTTCAACCGCTAGGATGCCACATGATTCTCATCTATACATGGATATACAAGTTTATTACAATATGCGGGCTGTAAATTGAATTTTTCCTTTTAACTACCAAAAATTTGGAGTTATGGCAGGTAATAAATGCATTTCTATTTTGTATTTCAGCTACTACTTAATAACTTTTAAAACCCCTTGTAAATAATCTAGAGTGACAATTTTTAGTACTTGTAGTTTCTTCTTTGCTTTGATTGTACTCTGATATTGGTTGAATGATTTGCCATAGAAGTAAACATGATGGTACTACCACCCGTTCTTGGAAACCGTCACCCATTTGTTTTTTGTTTTTTCAATTTTTTGTCAAGCTTCTAGGAAGTTTCTTAAACATGTACTAATTGCATTTAATGGAGAGAATAAAATTTTTGCCCTCTAAACCAAATAGGGATATGTTCTTATCAATGAATATAATCCTCTTGACACTTCCATGATCATTATGAAGATGGGTAATGAGTTTGTTGGCTTTGAAAGGTAAATATTCAGAACAGATTAAAGTCACCTTGTCAAGCACAAGTAAACCTCCTGCGTCTTTGTTATCCATGCCAACACCGGTATTCTTATCTCATCCATATGTCTCGTCTTTCTTGTAAAATGCTTGCAGGACAACAATATAGCGAATATCTAATTTCTTAGATAATTTGTTCAGGCTATTTGTTATACTAATATTTTCCCTCTATTTTTATGTTGCATTGGAAAACACAGATACAACACTGGCCCATCTACATTCTTGAATAGATTTGACTGATCAGTGACCATCCTGTACCACCATCTCTTACGTAGACTGATGGATGGGGGGATATGGGTAATTAAATTCATGGAGAGTTGGATAGTGACAAAGATGGTTGGGATGACATGGAGCCACTAGAGAAAACAACACCACTTACTGCTCTTGCAAATATTTGAGCATCTCAAAAGCAACCTGTCTCAATTCCAAAACCACAAGGTAACATTGACATTGATTCAACAGTATCACCAGTTCCTAAATTTTTCATGATTTCCTCTAATATCCAAAATAATTGGTTCTTGTTTCAAATACCTTATCGATGAACACACCAAGGAAAAATAATTATGATGATGATGATGATGATTTATTTTGTGTATTTTCAGATCATTTTTTAGAAATCTATATAAAGACCCTCGAGTGCAAAATCCAGCCAAAAAGTCGATGATAATGATGATCCCTGGGGCACAAATGTTGCTCTTTTTATGAACTCTTCATCTAAGTTTGAATCTAAAATCTAATGGCTCAGTAGTTGACGATCTCTGAGCTGCCATTGTAGTTTGTTCCACCGACAATTGGGCACAGGCCTATGTTGGTTGAACGAGGCCGGGGAACCAAATCTGCTGCCCCAAGATTAGGTACTCAAAGGATAGACAAAACATCATAAGATAAGAAACTCAATACGTAGTTGCAGTGAATGTAACTCTCTCTCTGTCTCTTTCCTCGTATCATTAATTATTCAAGAGTTGTGTTGAAATAGTTTTGTGCTTCTTGATTATTTTGTGTATTAAGTGTTCTCTTACTAGATATATATATTTAATATCAGTAATTCTTTTGTATTTGAAGGGAAGAAGAGCAAGAAAGAGTTGTAATTTTGCAACATCTTATACTTTCTATATGTTGATTTCTATTTCAAGAATTATAAGAAATTTTTCAAAATGAGTTTATTTATGGTTTGTTTAGTGTTGTATATATATATATGCTAAAGTTTTTGAGCCTTTTAGCATAACTGGATTGGAGCCAAGAGTACCTCATTCAGAAATAAAGAAAGCGTATCAAGAAGCTTTCTATTTTATATTACCTTGATAAAAATTCACACCCAGGTTGAAAGTGTTTATTGACTGAAATGTGAATTATGTTCCTAAAAAACTTTCATAATTATATTCCTTCAATGCATTTTTGCATGTGTAGGGTCCACTTGTAGTCGCACACTGGTATTTTAATTTTAATCAGATTACCTTATCCACACACACTTGCTCTGAAGGTGTACTCACGGTATTTGTTAATTATTATGCATGAATCCATTTAATTTCTTGGAACTATCCTGCTGCTACTTGAAACAATGCGGAACGAAAACCTCCACTCATTTTAGAATGTTTCTGAAATGGTTTTGCTTTCATCTCTTATGTCTCTCATGTTTTATAATATTGCAGCAAGGTCATGGAAGTTTTCATCAGGGCTGCAGAATATATGGAAATTCCTGTTCACTGAACTGATGAAGAATCTCTTTATAAAATATATGTGTTTGTTAGGAGTGAGCTCAATTTGAATCTTTGAAATATTAAACAAGAACAACCTAAATCCTGGAAACAGCACACTCCCTTAGTGAAGGTGACAGTCTGAACTACAATTCTGACTGCTTCAATGTACTTTGTTGTTGATCATATATGTGTTTTCTTGCAGTCTGAATTGTTGATGCAAGCACATCTGCAATAACACCTTGCCTTCTTTAAGAACTAATGAAGGTACTCATGAATGATTTTATTTCCCTCATTATGAATAGAACATTACTATAAATAGTAAACACTATTTTTATGTATAATGCATGTTCTACAATAACACACTATCTGGATGTAAAAATAAAAAATGATAAGTGAATAAATAACACACTATATGGATGGTTTCCTTAAAGATTTTTATGCAGTATTTAACTATGTTTTTAATTCACTTTAATGTTTAACTCATTTTTTGGCAACTTTGAAAACAAAATTAAAAATAATAAAACATAGTTTCCACATCTCTGCGCAAATGTCCACTTATTTCTTTGTTTTATTATAATAAAACTAGCATCTTCATTTGTGTTCCCTGAACTTACTGTCCTGAACATATATTCTTTGTTTATTTTAAACTATAAATAGAGTGATTTGTCAAACTGTTCATTTCTTAAGCATATTGTACATTTTGATGTGTTTGGTTGTGTGATTGATAATGTTGAGGTTTTCTTTACATGCTGATGGCCATTATTATCTCGCACCCAACAAGGATATGGATTGTTGAGACCTACAATTTGAAGTTATTGAGCTGTCCTAGAGTAGTATTCAAGTATCGTGGGATGTGACTACCAGTCTAAGGCCTTAAAAAACTTAAGTCGTTTGGAATCAATTAGAACAAACGCAAGAGGTTTCATTGGGTGAACATCATTCTACAAAACTCAATGATGTTTTGAAATGTGATTTGTTACCATGTGGTGAAAAAGTATTTCTTACATAAGAAGTTTTAATCTTGGAGTTCTAGCACCTCATTTTTTTTTGTATTTTTCTTTTTAAAAAAAAGAAAAAGAAAAAACAAATGAATTAGAGAAAAATGGTCTTTCATTTAATAGTGGTGTGGTTAAATTATAATAAATATTGTTATATTGTCCTGTTAGAAGCTAAATCATTGCAAAAATGCACAAGCAACAACGTTTGGCTATAATATTATTTTTCCATATTTTGTGAGACAAAGTGAAAATGATAATGTTTCTTTTGTGTATTATAGATTAAAAGTGGTGTTGGTCTTGATGTTGGTTGTCCCCCTCAGTTTTAGAAAAGTAACATGGGTATCCAATGAAAGTTATGGTCCATGGTCCATTCCTCATGCTATCACATTTCAGCGAGTCCATTATTAAAAAGATTGTGAAAAAGATTATCATCTCCCCTTACTCATATAAATTTGCACATTTGCAACTTCTAGTTTAATTATCTTCACTTCGTTCACCAATGCTTACATTGGATTCGGTTTAACATGTATAATGACATTATTTTTTTTTTATTATTATCTGGTGTTCTCAGCTTATCATTTCTTTGACCATACATGTTCCATTGTCTAGATAACTATTTAATTATTTGTTAATTTTATGTATTATTGCGGGTACATAAAGTGCACTCATTTCAAAATATTCACGAAATGAACTCACCACTGCACGCTGATCTCTTGACTCAAGTTGTTGGATTTTCAGATGATGAAGTCGGAGACGTTGAGATAGTTCTTTCGATGATACCTTCCATAACCCTCAATATAACATTTGAGACCGAAGGTGGAGAGGAAATTCATGGAAAAAATCGCCCAATCCTTTTGAGGAGGTCATTATTGGACATGGGTCCAAAAACACCTGAACGTAAAGGATGTTCGAAGAAAAAAACACACAAATGACCCTCAGTCTATGAAGACCATCCAACAGCAATGGAGCCGTGAATTCGGCCAGAAGTAATGGAGCCTCAGTCTGTGGAGGCCGCCCAACAACAACGGACCTATGGAACTACCCAGCAGCAATGGAGCCCCAAGGCTTACTGCCACCATGAAGCCAAAGTCTGTTGCCTTTACAAATATCGAAAGCAACAGTCTACATTGGACTATGGTGCCTCCACAAAGCAAAAGATTATTGCCTCTACAGGATCGAAAGCAATAGCCTCCACAGACCCTAAGACAACAACCTCAATTGGCTTTAGGTTAATGGTTCCATACTGATCGTCAATGGAAGATCCACACACCTTAATGTTTCATTCAAAGGATTCCCTGGAGACATACCGACAGAAGAAAGAATTGAAGACTCCATACAACTCGAAATTGTTGGAGATAAAACCCCGCAGACCGGCTAAGTTATAATAGCGGCAGTTCGGATGGAGCTGTGGACCGGTTCAAGTGCAATGGAGACGGTTCAAATTGAGTCCAACGGTTGAGAATTGAGAGGGGAAGTAGTCAGGCAGTTGGAATGAGTGGAAAAAATAATTGTAACCACATCTTCAGTAGATGGGGCAGTTACTTGATCTTAGGATTAAATTTAGTAAAACACACAGCACATACGACAATAATACACATCTCTTCTACAACTCTTCATCATTTTATTAGTTTATCTATAGATTTTAGGAGATTATCCAATTATGTTCTAATTCAAATTATCTTTTGTTAATTTTTTGGTAATTTATGTTTCCAGCATGCATTTATCTGGTTTCGGTAGATTTATCCGAGTTTTAGTAGATTTTAATTAACTTCATCGAAATCGGTCATTTAGGCTCGAAGCCGTGCAGGCTCCACCAAAAGAGCCTCTCCCAATCAGACATCGGACAAGCTCTTTGAAGTACTTCCGAAACTCACACCGACAACAGTCTTGGAGTATCCAAATTTTAGGCTCCAACAATATCATGTCACTGTATTTTTTAAACCAAAATCCAAAAAAAAAAAAAAAAATCAATATCAAATAAACACTAAACATCAAAATATTTTTTACACCAAAATCATTAAAAAAAAAAATCAATTTGAAATAAATATGTTTTAAAGCAGAGTCTTTACTTATTGGTTATTATTCATATCTCCATATTTTTGTTATGTTTATTTTGATAAAAAAAAAGTTTAGAGGGTATAATTTTAAATAAAATGAAAAAAATCATGTATAAATTAATGATATTTTAAGTTAAAAATAAAAGCAAAAATTTTGAACTATATTTTCAATCTGATTTTAGTTGTAGTTACAATGAAACTTGACTAGGATTTAAAAATATATAGTTATAACTTATATATATATATGTATGTATTTTTTTAAATATAAAAAGTTAAAGCTAATTAAATAACAGTATTACTAATATATTTCATTACTTATTCATTTTTGTATTCAAATTTGGTTAGCAAGGTGAGTAGTCACATCTAAGTTCATTTTGTTCTGAATTGAGTTTCAAAATTTGATTGTTGGCCTAGAAATCAATCTTGGTTTTAAGAGTCAATTGAAACTGATTACATCGAAATAAAACTATAATGGAAAAAATATAAATAAAATCAGTAAAAATAAATTGCAAGAATTGTTCTATGGATTGATATTATTGTCCATGTAAAACGTCAAGTACCTCCACTTTGCATAGAGTTGTTAATGGGGCGAATTGGACCAAATTTTAAATACTCCCAACGTCCCATCGAAAGGTTATCATTTTCTATTTTCGTCCGTTCCAAAAAAAAGTTACAATTTCATAATTTAGTAATTGTACTATCTACTTCCCATAATAAATACCCTTTCAACTTACAATTTTATTATACAAATGTCATTACTTTTATATTACACCATACTAATAGGGATATTTTTGTCTTTTTACTACAATCCAATATAATACTAATATTAAAAAATCTACGTTCAAAAAACAAACGTCACCCTTCCAACGGGATGGAGGGAGTATTTGTATTCGTTCGTTAACGTTTGAATACTAAAAAAATTTTACGAATTAAACTTGAATGCTTAACAAATGAATATGAGCAGTGACAAAACTAGCATCTAAATTCTGGGGGGCAAACTGTTATAATTTATTTAATATTTAGCTAATAAATTTAAATTAATAATAATGATAGCTTTATATATGAATTTAGATAGTTTTAGGGGGCAAATTGTATATAAATAAATAAAAATTAATATTTTTAATACTAAAAAAGTCATAAAAAGTTTGGCTTGGCGGGTCAATTGACTCCCCAAGCCCTAGTGTAGTTCCGCCCCTGAATATAAGTCTTATTTGCGAACATTCGCGAAAAAAGCTCAGACTCGTTCATTAACAAAACAAATCTATTTATTTTGTTCGATTCGATTCGTGTACGTTCACAAACAAGCTTAAATCAAATTGAACCAAGCCGAATCAAACCAAATTCACGAACAGCTTGATTCGTTTATCGGCTCTTAACTGTGCAACCAGTCCATCGGCCATCTTTCTTGCATTTTTCCTTTCCACATTATCTTGTGTGAATACTCCGTAAACATTATTCATTGCAAATTTCATAATCAATTCTATAAATTCCCCTCAACTTGTTAAACTCCATGGATGAATAATCATTTTGGGCTATTATTTAAATTTCTTGGATTTGGCATTCTCTGGTTTGCATGTCGTTATACCACATAAGTCCTTTTGTACCATCGACCGAGCTTGGGCCGGAAAATCGATCTACATTGAGTAGAGAAAATTTGGCCATTTGAAGTTGTCTCACACTGACAAAATCATGTTGGATCAAACTATATTGATTTTGCCCGATCATTTTGGGCTGGTCATGATCGGTCCATTTTTATAGTTGAAATTTTGTGCAACTTGTAAAACTTATTTGAATGGTAAAGAAGAAAAAGAAAAAGAAAAAGAATTAAGAGAATAAGAGGATGGAAGAAGGAAGAGAGAAAAAAATAAAGAAAGAAGAAGAAATGAAAAAAAGAAGGAAGAAGAAGGAAGAAGATGGCGGGGGGATGGGGTGGCGGCAGCCACACAACAAAAAAATTGATTGTAAATTTTTTAATACTCTCTCCATCCCATAAATATAGTTTTAATTGAGATATACACGAGATTTAAGAAATATTGATATTATATTAGTAGTTGATAAAAAATATGGATAAAAAGACTTTTTTGTCCTTGCGAGTATATTAATGTAAAAAATAGTGGCAATTGTGTAATAAAAATGAAAAAGTAAGGGTAATTTTATGGTGATATGATTATTTATGAAAATAAGACTATTGTTTTGAGACGGAAAAAAATGGTAAATAAGATTATTGTATTGGGCCGGAGAGAGTAATATATTTATAATAATTAATATGTGCTATTCCTTTCGTCCATTAAGATTAGTCAACTTGGGTCCGATATAGAAATTAAGAAAATAAATATTTTATTGAAAAATAATATGTAGTTGGGGTGTTTTTGAAAATTTAGTTAAAAATTAAAATAAATAAAAGAGAGATAAGGTAATAAACTTAGTTGTATTTGTTGTAAATAAGTATCGAATGAAATATCATAATTAAGTGTTGAATGGAAGGTCATAATTAAATGTTAATTTGTTAATTTTTCCAAATTAAAAATGAGATCAATTTAACAGATAGACTAAAAAATAATGAAAATAAATATTATGGACGGAGAGAATATTAATTATATTATGAATAAAAAAGTCAAAATTGTTAATCAATATATATTTCCTATTAAATCAATACACGTGAAATTCTTAAACATCAAACAAAACCTACTGATCAAATTTTCAAATTTATTTTAGAATTCAAATCAAATCTAAATGTTTTGAATAAAAATGCGTACCAATGCTTAAAATAATAATAATAAAAAAAATCTATTAGTTATAAGATTTATTTGTTTTTTATTTCAATCAACTAATTATTATTTTTTTTAATAAAATATCATATTAAAATAATATTTAAATTAAATTTCAAATCAAAATTAGACAAAATATTTTTTTGAAAAAAAGCAACACGACGCAAGAATTTCATCTCTACATTAATGGGTGTGTTTGTTTGGGGGTTTGGATTTTGAGTTGGGATTTGAACAGTAAAAATTTTAAATTTGAATAGTTGTATGATGTGATATAAATAGGTGTTGATTTGATGTTTTGAATGTAAAATTGATTTTTAGTATAATATAAAAAATGAAAAATAGATGTTTGATTTGATGTTTTCGGGGGAAAAAAATTGGATGAATAGGATAAATCCAATCCAATTCCCCAAACAAACTCCATTCCATTGTCATACTTAAGTTAGATGCAAGTTTTTTAAAATTCAATAGTAAATTGGAAGAGACTTTGAATTATTCTATACATTGTATAGTTCAATTAAAACATCCACATCCATCTAAGCCACATCCCTAGATAAATTTATCTCATTTTATACTTAGAAACTCATTTACAAAAATTTTGATTTCTTTATATATATATATATATATATATAATTAAATTATTTATTTTTGAAAATAATTAACATATACTCTATATGTCACAAAATAATTAACACCATTGATTTGTGACACGATATTTAAAATAATGAAATTTAGATAATTAATAATTATAAATTATGATATAATATTATTATTTTTTATGCGAGTGGTATTATATGCGGTTTTAAAATAAGAATTAGCGTATATGATTAAAAAAATTATAATATGCATTTAAATATTTTAAAAGTCACATCTCAACAAAATTTATGCAATATGAATATTTTTTTTTATAGAGATAAAATTTTATATAATGCAAATAAAGAAATAACTATATTTATTTATAATTTACATAAACTAATTTTATAAAAGATGAAATTTTTTAACTATAAATAAAAATATTTATTTATTAAAGAAAGAAATATTAATAAAAGTGTTTTGAATGAGTCCTATATGTATATAAATAATGTATGATATATGTTATGAAGTTAATTAAATTAATTTTTTTTTGTTAATTATGTTTTGAATAGTAATTTTTACCAATATAGCAAGATGCCAAGTAAAGTGGGATGTACAAAAATGAAAAAGAGGTCTATTATGTTAGAATGGAGAGGGTATACCACATTCTTTAGAATAATATTATTTTTATTAAATATTCGCTGAGACGGTTATACCATATTCGCCCTAATTGTTTAAGTTTATACAACCTTTTCAGTTTGATGGAATATAATTCATTTGGATTTGATTTGTATGCTTCAAACAAATTGAATTCCTTATAAACTTTCATATAAGTATTAGTATCCAGTGAGCCATAAAGATATGCAATAACTACATCTAAAAGACGCATGTCGAGTTTTTCTCACTATTAGGGTGACAAGATGTCTAAATGTTATTCCATCAACAACGGAAAAATATGTTTCATCGAAATTTACTTTAGATTTTTGCGAGAATCTCTCAGCTATAAGACGAGTTTTATATCTCACAATTTTATTAAGCTAATTTTTTTTGTACAAACACCTATTTGCATTCTACCAATTTTATATAACATCTGGTGTTTGAAAAATTAGTCTAAAGACTTCTCTTTTTTAATGAGTCAAACTCTAATTGAATCGCATTTTTCCATATTGATTAGTCATTTCTTTGCCGACATTCATAAATCGATTTTGGCTATGAATTTCCATTTTCTTCCATTATATCAAGTGTTAAATTGTATG